TTAAAACGCTGAAATAGAACAAAAGTTCTGATTTACAAACCTGGAAATTTGAATAAAATTCGATATTCGATATTTAAGCATAAATTCAAACTTGAAACACGAAATTTTGACCTCAAAAACTTTTGACTTAAAATTCTTATTTTGCAACTCAAAATTCTGACTTTAAAGTGGAAAATATTAAACAATTTATTGTTTTTTCTCTCAAAAATTACAGGGAATTAATTGGGAAGATTATAATAAAAAATAACAAAAGATTGTCTCAAGAGAATGAACCAATTTTTGTTGTAAAAATCCTCAAAACCGGGTTATTGGAGATATATTTATTTAGTGGAAGCTCGTGAAAAAATGAAAACTTGTAACAAACTTATTTCCAAATGCCATTAAATTAGGCAATTTGCTCGAAAACTCTAAAAAACTCTGAAAAAACGTTTGTGTTAAAAATGCTGCTATTTTAAGAAAGATTTCAAACTCAGACTTCAAATGTCGAAATTCTAACTTTAAATTTGACAATTTTAACTTTCTGACTTAAAATTCTTGTTTTATAACTCGAAAATCTAACATTTAAAGTTAAAATGCTGAAATAGAATAACAGTTATGATTTGTAAACATGGAAATTTGAATAAAATTCGATAATCGATATTTAAGCACAAATTCAAACTCTGAAAGCCGAAATTTTGACATCAAAAGTCTAAATTCTAACATTGAAACTAAGAATTTTAACTTTTTGACTTAAAATTCTTATTTTGCAACTCGAAATTCCGACTTTAAAGTGGAAAATATTAAACAACTTAGTGTTTTTTTTCCTTTTTTCAAAAATTACATAGAATTAATTGGGAAGATTATAATAAAAAATAACAAAACATTGTCTCAAGAGAATGCACCAACTTATTGGAGATGTATTTATTTAGTGGAAGCTCGTGAAAAACTGAAAACTTGTAACAAACTTATTCCCAAGTGCCATTAAATTAGGCAATTTGCTCGAAAACTCTAAAAAACTCTGAAAAAAAATCCTCTCGCAAATCAGCATTCATTATTATCGTTATTTCAACGCATGTTTAAAATGCTATAAAGTTGGCATTTGCGCGTAGAGTAGCTGTCAACATAGCAAAGTTTTCGTTTTGTAAACTGCCTCGTATAACTTTCAGCTTAGACCGACGCAATTATAAATTTAAAGGAGATTACGTAGCAGAGGAGTACCTCTAGAGAGACACACAGTAATTGGAGAGAGGGTCAACTTATGACTAAAAAATCACAAATTTTGCAAAATTCTAAAACTCACAACGTAATTTGAGGCCGATGAAATGATATTTTCGGTTTCGGAGGGTGATTTAGCACCTTGGAGGATCTCCTCGAGGTATTCGATATATTCGATGGCGCTGCGGAGGATCTCCACTTTGGGGAGTCTTTGACCCGGGTTGTTGCAAGTGCGCCGTTTCAGCACCTCAAACGCCTCGTTCACCTGAAAAAAATTGTTTTTGGTCGAATTTCGCTGTAATTTTGGTGTTTTGAGGCTCGATTACCTTCCTCAGCCTCCTCCTCTCCCTCAAAGTGGCCGCTTTCCTCCTATCGATGGCCACCGTTTTCTTCTTACAAGCCTTGCAAGCCCATGCGAGACACTTCCTCGGTCCACAATTGGCATTTTGCGGTTCCAAAACATGATTCAACTCTTTCTCATCGTCACTTTCCAGCGAACTCTCGCCACTCGCATACCCCGTATCTGATTTAGCACTCGTTTCCTTCTTCTTGCCATCACACAAATAACTCTTTTGGTAGCTGCTGGGATAAAAACCGGGATAGAAATTCATCTCACGCGAATACCACACACAAACACCACATATGTTGCTCCCTCTTCGRATTTCTACTAACTAAAATTTCATTTTGGTCGCTTCTCCCTACTTTGTCTAGAGTGCTGTGACTAAATCCTCGCCTATTTGATTTTTTTCTCTTTTAGTTTGGTGGTCCGACGATTAATAGCATTATTTTGATCGAGTGTGCTTAGAAACGCCCACTTTGCATGACTTAACCAATCAGCGGTTGCGACACGCCCCTTTGCTAAGTAGAAACAATCATTTTTATAGAGTAAATAAGCAATAATTCAACGTCGACCGAAAWTCTATTTTAATAAAAAATTATTCAGAAGTAAAAATAATCAGAGCACACGACCTGGAATAGGGGTTGGGGGATTTTCTGACTTAACGTCGACGTCGATAAGGGTGTTAACATCCACCCTTAGTTTGACCCGAATTCGCGCCCGTCGTTGGCCTACAAGGGATGCAAGGCCAAGGAAAGGGCGGACGCTTTCGGACGACTTCGGACTAGTTGGGGTAGGTTAGGGTGGGTTCGATTTGGTGGGAAATGACGTATTGTTTCGACCGGAGGAGGAAGTATGTGAAAGATTGGGATTCCGAAACAATTTCCGGGTTCTTGAAAAGGAGGGGGGGCAAAAAGGGTTAATGGAACACATTTTTGTTACAAATTGACTTTTTCTATCAAGATGACATACAAAATTTTTTCTACTTTTGCATAATTGATGGGACTTAATAAATTATTTTTATTCCAAGGTGACAGAAGCTGCGAATGGGTCATTTCTTATCATTGCTTTGTAAAGTTTTTACTCCAAAATTTTAATTGTGAAATTTTACTTTTCTTTTTTTTTCTTAATAATGTAAAACTGAACCGAACATTTGGTGATATTTTTTAATGATTTTTTGAATAAAAACAATAAAAATGTATAAAAAATTGTAAAAGATTAGTTATTTATTTTACAAGACGATAAAGAAATTGTTTATCTACGAGTGAAAAGGTTAAGTTTACGAACGAGTGGACTTTTTTCACTCGTAGATAAACAATCTTTATCATCGTGTATAATATTTCGTTTTATTTTGTACTCACCTACCAGAATTTCTTGAATGTAAACAAAACAATATAAACAAAAAATACTTTATTTCACTAGACGATAAAAGACTTTATCTATTAAAATTTGTTGATGAAATCACTCTTTAACATTGAGTACAAAATAAAATAATTAATTTATGAATAAATTAAATCTTATTTAAAAAATATTTCGTTAAGTTAGGAGCTTTAAAGGTAGTTATTTTTTTGCCTTTATTAATTGATAATAATTTATAAACATTATATACATAATTTGACCATTTTAGGTCTTTAAATCTATTAGTTTGTCATTTGTCCTACAATAATGATAAAAATTTTGAAAAATTGATTTTATTTTTGCCTTTTTGTACCCCCACTATCCAAAATTCGCATTTGAAATTGAAATTCTGATATATCCAGAATTCTAATAAGACCAAATTTGACTTTGCATTTCAAAATTCCGTGAATTTGATTTCAGAACCCAAAATTCAGAATTTTAAGTTTGAGTTTGAGAATTTCGACTTTCTGAATTGAAAGTTAAAACGGTAAAATAGAATCACAATTCTGACATATTATGAACATAAAAAATTCATACTGAAATCGAAATTTTCATTTGAATTCTGAACATTTTTGATGTTGAATTTTTCAATAAAAAAATCTGAGTAAGTCGAAATATCGACGTTTGTGTTAAAAATGCTGCTATTTTAAGAAAGATTTCAAACTCAGACTTYAAATGTCAAAATTCTAATATTAAATTTGGCAATTGTCCTCCAAAAAATGATAAAAATTATGAAAAATCAATTTTATTTTTGCCCTTTTGTACCACCTCTATCAAAAATTAAAAATTGTAACTAGAAATTCTGACATGTCCAGAATTCTATCAAGACCAAATTTTACTTTCCATTTCGAAATTCCGTCAATTTGATTTCAAAACCCGATATTTGGACTTCAAAAGTAAGAATTCTAAGTTTGAGTTTGAGAATTTCGACTTTCTGAATTAAAATTCTTATATTATAACTCAAAATTCAGACTTTGAATGTTAAAACGGTAAAATAGAATCAAAATCCTGACTTATTATAAACATAAAAATTTCTTACTGAAATCGAAATGTTGATTTGAATTCTGAACATTTTTGATATTGAATTTTTTAAAATTCTTGTTTTATAACTCGAAAATCATTTAAAATTAAAACGCTGAAATAGAACAAAAGTTCTGATTTACAAACCTGGAAATTTGAATAAAATTCGATATTCGATATTTAAGCATAAATTCAAACTTGATACACGAAATTTTGACCTCAAAAAAAATTTCTTACTGAAATCTAAATTTTGATTTGAATTCGGAACATTTTTGATATTGAATTTTTTAACAAAAAAATTTGAGTTTAGGTCGAAATTTCGACGTTTGTGTTACAAATGCTGCTATTTTAAGAAATATCTCAAACTCAGAAATTCTAATTTTAAATTTAGCAATTTTAACTTTCTTCTGACTTAAAATTCTTGTTTTATAACTCGAAAATCTAACATTTAAAATTAAAACGCTGAAACAGAATAAAGTTCTGATTTATAAACATGGAAATTTGAATAAAATTCGATATTTGATATTTAAGCAATAAAYTCAAACTCTGAAAGCCGAAATTTGTAAATTCCAACATTGAAACTAAGAATTTTAACTTTTTGATTCAAAATTCGTATTTTGCAACTCGAAATTCCGTCTTTAAATGTCAGAATTTGATTAATACTTTTGAAAACTTAATTATTTAAACAATAAAATCAATCTGATTAAAAGTATTTTGCCCTTTGTGTGGAAAATTTAAACCTTTAAGCTGAAAATCGTGTAGTGAAACACTGAAATACTCTTTAACAAATTTCAGGCCCGTTCAGTGGCGATGAACCTTCCCGCCCTTCGATTTATAATCCCGAAACACCTGAAAAATCCCCGAACAATATCTTTTATCGCTCTTCAAACAGTAATCATCAATCACTGAAAAAAATGCGTGCACGTGTCGACATCCGGAACTTGTGGAACTCTGAATTCTCCACCTATTTTAAATCCTCTCCAAGAATTATTAATGACTCGTTTCAGTCTTCGAAATTCAATGAAAAAAATTTAAGACAGCAACACATCGATCGGGTCATCGCCACGTGCGATTTCAGGATTAAATCCTGCAGGATCCCGACGCGATCCGATGTGGTCCTGGCCGCTTATCCTGTCCGACTTCCTCCGACATCCTCCGAAATAATGATCTGGTTGTGCTTCAGTCGGGGATGCTGGATGGTGGTCGAAGGGGTGTGTTTTGACGTGTACATATTGTGACAAAAAATTCTATTTTTACGTTTCTTTCGTTCACTAAATCGGCCTATTTTTGCAAAATGCTACTTTTAACGAAATTTTCTGTGTGAACAGGATGTCGTGGGAATCGCTCAACTCGCACGACTTCACCAGGTAGTGGTATTTTACGCCCCTATTTTGACACAAAGATCATTTTCTACAAATGTTTTTTTTTCAATTTAAAAAAATGCGAATTGGCTCAAAGCCCAAAAATTTATTTCGGAAACAGCTGTTCTCATTTCTAGCAACATTTTTAAGGTTTAGGTGCCGTTTCGACTTTAAATCTTTTACAATTTTGCAAAAAATGTCTGTTAGTATATTTTTTGTGACAAATTCTTGACAGATAAATTACAAAAAACGGAAAAAAGCGACAAAAATAGACTGATTCATATAACACATAACATCATTTTTGACTGTCAAACTGAAAATTAAAATTTGCAACGTGTAGCTTTATATGAATCACCCTGTAGAATCTGTTACCGAAATACTTTTTAATTATTTTATTAAATTGTTTTATGGGGCATATTTATATTTAGGAAAAAAATTCTTAATTTTTTTTATCGCATCCTCTTATCCATTTTTTTTTGTAATACAGCCTTCTACATAAAATACTCATTGATAAATTATCTTTTTTTGCATTCGTATTTTTGTTCAATTTTAAAATTCTTTAATATTTAGTTTTGATACTTTTTTGTTTTATTACAACTATTTTTAATTAAAAATTGAAATGAAATGAAAAAAATATTATGTATTTACTAAAGGGATCCAGATGTATTTTTTTTTTATTGTAATAAAAATAAAAATTCTAAAGCTACATAGTTATACTCTTTTTCATATCAATGTGCATCAAGTAGGTTGTAGAAGTTTAAATGCGTCTTTAATTTAAAGGCCGATTCACACAAAAAGCGTCATTAATGTCATTCAGACCAAATTTAATCACATTAATAATGACGAATTACATTGTTCATTTTAATTATTTTTTGCTACCTCAAAAACTAGGATGATACACATATTTATTTGAGAAAATAATTTTTAGAGAATATTGAGGTTGGAATTGTTTAAATTTTCGCATGGTTGCCATCTTAAAATGATCCCTTTCAACGACTACTTGCATATTAATGTGAAAACGATTATACAACTTATTTTTAAATGTTGTGGTATATTGTAACCCCACATGCGAGTGAGGAGTGAGGGCATTTTCTACTTCAATGTGTAATCTACTATTTATTATTAATTTATTACATTATTTTTAATTTTTTTGTGGGGTTTTCACTAAACATTAATTTAGTTCGCCCCACCTGTTTTGCCTTTATTTAGAATATCATCACGGATTGTTATTTATTACACCAGAACTATCAAAATTATACAAGATGCGCCAGAACTCGCGCCCCAGCGAAAAATGCTATATAAAAAATAAGATACCAGGAACATGGAAAAAATATTACAAAAAATTTATCTATAAAATTTTCGAAGTTGAGAGTTTAAATTTTGGACTTTGACTCTATTTATTTCTGTTGCAAAAATAATTTTCCATTTTTTTTTGCCACAGACTATTAAAAGAGGAAACAAGGAAGCTGTATCTTAAACTGTAACTCTGTTCAATGTTATTTGTGGCTTTTATTGGCAAAATTTTTGAACCTTTACTAAATAATTGTAAAAAAAACATTTACAAGATCATCAGTATCATTAAATAGACACAAAAAAATGTCAAATGACAAAAAATAAATAATGTCAAAATTTTTTGACAAATAAAATTTTGTAAACATTTTTTCCATGTTTCTGGTATCTTATCTTACTTGAAATTTTTCTCTGGAACGCAASTTCTAGCGCACCCTGTATAACAAATACGAAATATTAAGTTAGATTCTTAAGCAACTCTTCAATTTTTCGTTTGTGTTTTAAAACTTTTTTTTCAGTGGCGGCGTTAGTCACCAGCTCTCGGCCACCCGTCTCTTATCATCTCCCGACGGCTCTCGGCACCCCCTCGACGGCCTTGAGCAGATCTGGCCTTGGAACGACTCATACTCAAGCCTTCACCGAGACACTTACACGGAGGTTCGCACCCCAAGACCGCCAATTTTCACGTGGGGCTGTTTCCGGGCTTGTCGAGCACGAATCTATCAAAGCATCGCCAAAAGAAAGGTAAAACTACCCCAACCAAAATAAAAAAAAATAAGGCAACTTTTCACTAGGTGGACCAAGGAGTCAAACTCTACAACCAGCACAAGCAACAACAAGCCGTCAGAAAATGGAAGTCGGCGCTGAAAGCTATCAGGAAGCGGGAGGACAAATTCGTGCTTTTGGGGTACTTGTGTCAGGCTTACATGGACTGGGGGAAGTACAGGTGATTTTTTTTCAGGATATTTTTGCTAGTTTGTGTTTATTTTTTATTTCAGAGATGCGTTAGAGTACGCCCACCGCCAACTTTTCATAAGTGAAGAGCTCGACAACCCCAATATGAGGGCGGAGTCTTATCTGAGCTTGGCAAAGGCGCATCAAAGACTCGGAGGGCTTGAAAAGTATGTTAGTGTATAATGGGTTGCCTACCCGTGTTTAATTGCTTGCATACCCTACAGGCGTTTTAAACAAAGAAATAGAAAAAATGGCCATAAATTTAGCCGTCTTTTTCAAACTTGTTTAGTTTTTTGAATTTGTAAACTCGTTTTTTATTAAATTTTTATAAACCAGGTTTCATAAAACTTTCGGCACTCGCTTCGCTCGTGTTATTCTGTGGGTTTTTTCCTCCTAGGGCCTTGGCGTACGCCCGGCACTCCCTGTACAACGAATGCGAGCAATGCACGACCGCCGGCCACGTCCACCTCACCGTCGGCTCTGTGTACTTGGAGTTGGCTGGTTTCAAYAAAGCCCTCGATAGTTTCCAGCACGCCCATCGCATCGCCCAGGCCGTCCATGACCCAGCACTCGAATTGCAAGTCTATGTCGGCCTTTCTGAACTTTTTAGCCGTCTCCAAGACGCTGATAAATCCGCCAAATACGCTTCCAAAGCCTACGATCTGTCACGATCCCTCCAATTGGGAGATTTGAATTCGCGACACCATCGAGCTGCACTTTTGCAGATGGCGTCGGCGTTGAGGAAACAGGGCGAGTTGGGGGATGCACACGACTACTGTTCGGTGAGATTTGGCTTTTCACGTTGGATAAACTGTTTGAACAAAATTTCGTACCTTGTCACGTTGCCCAGGTTGACACAGAAAAATTTTTTTTTAGAAATTTGTCCATTAAAAGAAAAGTGGAATGTTGAAAACAATAAAATGAGTGCGAGAAATCGCCTTTTCTAAGCGTTTCAGCACATTTTTCACCATAAACGCAAATATTTTGGCATAAATTAAAAATTACCGAATTGGCATCGTTTTTACCTTTCTTGAGCGTTTACACACGTTTTTGAACTTAATCGGGCTGAAAAATCATAAAATTTGGTGGAAAATTACATTAGTGAGTGTTTTGGGATACTTTTTGCAGTCTTTAGTCAAAAATAAGCCAAAAAATCATAAAATTACTTTAATAACTTTAATCTAGACGAGCTGGTTTTTGAGCTAATAAATTTTTTTTTCGAGAGATTTCGCCAAAATCACAGACCGAAAAATCACTATGTTAAGTCAAAAGTACATTGTTTTTTCCTTTTTATGAAAGTTTTACTGTCATTTTTTTGCGAGATTTCGATAAATAACCAAGATAGGTGCTAAATACATTTTGTTCATAATTATTTCGCTTAATTTCGTCAAAATATATATTATATTATTATATATTATAAATATCTATAATATATATAATATCTATAATATAAATATATATTATATTATTATATATTATAAATATCTATAATATATATAATATCTATAATATAAATATATATTATATTATAGATATTATTTTTGACTTTTTCGGTCTCTAAGACACGTTTTAAAGCAAAAAAAAATTTTTTCGCTAGATTTTGTTAAATTGAGGCCAATATGTCACTAAATAATGTCGAAAATAATAATTTTTGCCTTTTTCGAGCTTGTTGGTACGTTTTTTGTGCTAAAAACTCAGTTATTTCGCGAGATTTCGTTAAAGTGAGTCTAAGACATCACTAAATTATTTCAAAAATGATCTAATTTTTGCATTTTTAAGTATTTTCCCACGTGAGTTTTTTTTTAGCCAAAAAGGCAGCATGTAATTACTTTACAAAATCACAAAAATAAACAGAAAATCATCAAATTATCTTGAAAATAGTGTTACTTTTTTGTCGTTTCGAGCTTCCAAACAAGTTTTTGACAAAATAATTTTTCTGAAGAACCAAAAAGTTAGTAAATTACATCGAAAATGTCTTAATGTGTGCGTTTTTTGAGCTCCTTTTTGAGAAATTTCATCACAACTATGCCAAAACTCGCTAATTTTTGCCCATTTTTAAATGTTGTTTATATTAACGAATAGTAAAGCGCTTCTCGTTTTCATGAACTGTATTTTCACCTCAGACCACACACCTTCAAAATGACTTAATATTTCGAAATTTTTGTGCTATTTTTTTTAATCAGATTTACAAATATACATGGTGGAAACAGTTATATTTTTATATTTTTTATAAAAATGAAATGGTGAAAACAATCAAAGAGTGCAAGAAATTGCGTTTATTGAGCGTTTCAGCACATTTTTCAGCCAGAAACGCAATTATTTTGGCAAAAATAAGTCGAAAAATCAACGAATTGGTTTAATTTTTACCGTTCTTGAACGTTTAAACACGTTTTTGAGCTTAATCGCGCTGAAACATCACAAAATTTGGGCGAAAATTATATTATTGAGTGTTTTGGAATGCTTTTTTTGCAAACTTTCGTCAAAAATAAGCCAAAAAAATCATGAAATTACTTTGGAAATAGAGTAATTTTGATCTGGTTGCTGGTTTTTGAGCTAATAACTCTTTTTGTCGAAAGATTTCGCCAAAATCACAGACTGAAAAATCACTGTTAGGTCGAAATTACATTATTTTTTCTTTTTTTTTTTTGAAAGTTTTACTGTTGTTTTTTTTTCGAGATTTTGCCAAATCATCAAGATAGGTGGAAAATGACATTATTATTAGTTTTTTTGAACGTTCTAGTACGTTTTTTCACATTTATTTCGCTTAATTTTGTCAAAAAAAAAAACGAAAAAAACCCAATCGGGGATATTATTTTTGACTTTTTCGGTCTGTAAGGCTCGTTTTAAAGCAAATAAACTCAGTTTTTTGCTAGATTTTGTCAAATTAAGCCCAAAAAGTCCCTACATAATAATATATTATATAATTTTTGCCTTTTTCGAGCTTGTTGGTACTTTTTTGTGCTAAAAACTCCGTTATTTCGCGAGATTTCGCTAAAGTATAGGTATAAAAATGACCAAATTATTTAAAAAATAATCTAATTTTCGCATTTTTGAGTGTTTCCTCACGTGTTTTTTCTTAGCCAAAAATGCAGTATGTAATTACTTTGTAAAATCTCAGAAAAAAAAACAGAAAATTCATCAAATTATCTCGAAAATAGTGTTACTTTTTTGTCGTTTCGAGCTTCTAAACAAGTTTTTGACAAAATAATTTTGCTAAACAACTAAAAAGTTACAAAATTATATCGAAAATGTCTTAATTCGTGCATTTTTCAAACTTCTTTTTGCGAAGTTTCATTACAAATAAGCCAAAACTCGCCAATTTTTACCTATTTTTTAATTGTTGTTAATATTATTTATTTATTCTTAAATGACTTAAATTTTCAAAATTTTTGTGCTAATTTTTTAAAATCAGGTTTACACATATTCACGGTGGAAACAGTTATATTTTTATTGCAAGCCTTCTCTAGGAACATCAGAATATATTTTTTCTTTWTTTTTTAKTTTTCTGTTGGCTTTGACATTGTTTTTTGAAACATAGTTGTTATAAAACTGACTGGAAGGGTGTTTAGGAGGCGACCAGACTGGCGTTGATGTCGGGGGACCAAGCCACTTATGCAAGAAGTATACGAATCATGGGAGACATTTACAGGAAGAGGACTGACATTAATGTAAGAAAATTTTTTTTTTTGTGTGATTTAAATTGATTTTTTGGGGGTGGCAGAAAGCATTTAGGCAGTACGAAACCGCGATGGGTTCAGCGGCGGCGATGGGCGATCGCGTCATCCAAATGGAGTCGATGGATGGGGCGGCGAGGTGTTTGGAAGCACTGAGACTCCAGCACAAAATATGCAACTGCCGACCATTAGAATTCAATACAAGACTGTTAGAAGTAGCTAGTTCCGTCGGTGCTAAAGTAGGTCATTTTTATCAAATTTTTTTCTTCTATTATTTATTCTAGTTGTTGGTGCGCACGGTTCGCATGCGCTTATCGCGCATCTACCACGCCCTTGGTGACGAGGACCACCGACTCCACCACGAAAGGGTCGCTTTCCGTCTCCAGCAAGACCTGGACCTCATGTGTGGCGGTTGCGGATCCCCTTACGGCCTTGAAAGCGACTCACTTGAAGCTCTTCCCTGCGCTCATATCTTACACGCAAGGTTTGTTGAATTCTTCTGTGAAGAAGATTTTGAAAGTTTCCTTGCAGATGTGCCTACGATTTGTTCCGAAGAAGTAAAAAGAAGAAAAGGTCGTGTCCCGAATGCGATCGGACCAGTTCTAGACTATATCTGAATTGTACAGATTATAACAACACTCCGTATAGTCCAGTACCATTGTCTGTCTGTTCTTCCGACAGTCATTGTACTTCGCATCAAGCCACCAGTTCGGTTTAGTACCAATTTTGCTCACTTATCAGTTTTTGACCACACGGTACAATCGCTACGTGAACAACAATCACTCATCACTAGATGTAGAACCAAATCTGGTAGAGGTAGTAGATTAAGTAGGTGTTGAAAAAAAATTCTTGGGGCACTTTCTTCCATGCACTATTCAAAAATTTAGACGGTCGAATCTTCTAGTCCGAAATGAAATCACAATGTTTCATGTAAATACATTAAACAATTTTTATTGTAAATAATACTGATTATTGTACAGAAAGTTTAAGCGAATTATAAGGATTATGAGGTTGTTTAAGCGGTTTATTTTCACGTCCCACAACCYAGTCCTCGCCCACAAAACAACACATTTATTTTTATTACTTCTTGTTTGTCATTTTATATGAAAGTATTTTTTTTCGATTGTCTTCGTGAAATCTCATCCATCTCTGATTGTTTACATACCTACTAAAATTTTTCTATCACTTGTTTTTCTGGGAATTGTTGGAAAACTTAGAAGCACTCAAACCGTCAAAAGGTGGGAATTGAGTGAAGGTAAAAAAACAAAGCTTTATTAAAATTATACTTATTAGAACATGTGCACATGTTTTAAAGCATTTAGGCGACATCTTTTGTCAAAAAATTCGGGGTAACGATAAAAAAGCTCTTTTGCGTTTTCCCTTATGTTTTTTCTCTTTTTTGTGCTTTGTTCTCGTATTTGCTCTTATGCGTTATTACACTCTCTCTTTCTCTTTTTGTTCATTTATTTGTTTTTATGCTCTTTCTCTTTCTTATTTGCTCTCTCTCTTATTATAATTATTAGAACATGTGCACATGTTTAAATTTCGCGCTCTTATGCGACCGCCATCTTTTGACATTTATTTGAATTTGAATTATAGAAAAATTGCTAACTTTACGGGGGATCGAATCCGGATATATAAATATAAAGTATGGAACCAAGCGGATTTTTTAAAATCATTTGCCTAATATAAATTAAAGTAATGTAAAAAATGTGATCGTATTTTGAGAACGAATTTTTGTTTTGTTTTTGAATTATGCGATTTTTTTTTGTTAAAATTGCAATTTATGTATAAAAAAAAATTGAAAAAATTAATTTAAAGCAGATAGCTGTAATCCTAAGATCATAACCTTCATGAGAAAAATGGTTTTATAGTGGGTTGCCACTAAAAAAAAACAAAATTTTAGTAGAACTCAAAAACAACAAAAAAATTCGAAAAATTATGTTCTTAATAAAACATTGTAGTTTATCATTCATCAATTAGTTTTCCTAAAAAATAAAAGTTTAAGCAAAAACGTTTGGTTCCATTCACCTGGTATGTATTACAGAAAATTTTTCAAAAATTTTATTTTCGCATATTTACAACGTTTAAACACTTTTCTTAGTCTTTTCAACTCCTAAGAGTGCATTTAGAGCAATTTTAAAGTTWTTATTTTTTTCGATTCTTGGCAAAATTTTGATCGATTTGTGACACTTTTAATTTTCTGTCTTAAAAGAAATATTGTCCTGTGCACTTAACAATAAATGACCAATTTCAATGTGAATTTTTTTTTCATGATTGTAGAAAAGTATGATTTTTGAACCTCGATCCAAGAAGTTTAATCTCTTTTTTGTTCCAAAATATATTTCCTATTTCTCCTCATTTTATATGATGGTATTTTTTTTACATTTCGCTTTTTTTATTATATGGAATTTTATCCACTTCACATTGTTTACATACTATAATTTTTCTACCACTTATAGCATCACAAAATTTTCGAAGATGTAATAGCAACTTGGCTTTGTTAAAGCCTCTTCTATGCATTTTTGTTCAATAAATGTTTGTTATTAGGTTTTGTTTTAATTTTTTTTACATATTTCGTGTTTTTCCACAATCTTCGTGGAATTTTATCTATTTCTTATCGTTTACATGTTACATCCTAAATTTTTCTTCCACTTGTAGCACAACTGAATTTTCGAAAGTTAGCAACTTTTCCTTGTTAAAACCTTCATTTTTTTTCAAAAAAAATCTAGTGTCCTATATTCTATGCAAATTTTCTTCCAATCAATGCAACACACATTCAATTCATAATAGTGCGTATTTACAGTTACCTTGACAAGAAGGTCGTACTTGCGGAGACCAAATACGTCTTCTCGTCTATAACAAGAATTTCAAAGAAAAACGCCTCCAAACTGATCATTTCTTCTAACAAGTCAATTTTCGAAAAAATACTACCGTGGGAGTTTAAATAAATATAAAAATTCGTCAAAATTTAATTGATCACATCCGCCTCGAATTCGCCAAATAAGCCAAACGTCATTTGCATATTGACATTGTATGTGATGTAATAATCAAACACCTACTCTTTACATGTGGCAATAAAGACACTCCTCTCTAAGAGGGAGTTTTAGTATCTTATTCTGCGACTAGAGTAGTTGTTGTTGTGACACCAACACAGTGGCGGTGAGGTGTGATTTGCTGTAAAATTCGCATTTTTTTTTAATTTCAAAAAATTTAGATGGGGTTGAGTGTAACTTTAAAGTGGCTTGTTTTGGCCCACGTGCTGGCTGCAGTCCTAGGTGAGCCTTCATACTACCACCAAAGAGGGTATCCCTACTACACAAACAGTTACACTTATTACACCAATCCATTCAGACAGTATTACAATTATTACAACAGTCCAGCTTATAAATATAGAAGTTGGGATAATTACAATTACAATTACAAAAGCTACAGTCGGCCGACGAGCTATGATGATGATACGGTTTATGTTACTGATATGTATGGAAACACCAGAGTGTCGTCGGCGAGGAGTTTGAGAGGTTTTACAATTTTGGTGGTGGACCCAAAACTAACACTTGATTCTATCTGTCACACACACACTATTTTTTCTACTACTGACAAATTGCGAATTAAAAATTTGTTTATAAGGTGAAAATTCAG